TTCACAATTGGCCAATAATAACGTGTTATTCAATTTCATGTGACGACCAATCACGAGAAAGTTATCCTATATGGGTACCCTTATGTCAAGAAAATGATCTGCAAAATTTCGTCTCGAACCAATAAAAATTGCAGAATTTTGATGATCTTCGTGTAACGTAAACAAACGCTAACCCTAACGCTAAACAAAAAACTGTAAATTTACTAATAAATGTGTAGCATGAAATTTTACGTTAAAATATACAAAAAAATGAGTATTATATCGGATGTAGATCATTTTCTTGACATAAGGGGATCCTAATTTTTGGGGTACAATCTACATAAATCCAAAAAAAATCAAATCTCTATAAGTGACAAGCGTTAAATTATATGTAGTTTAGTTAACCAATCAACGCAGGCAACATTGTAGAACCTTTTTAGTTGCCATGAAAACAGTCAGGACTGGTCTTAATACTGGAAATAAGGTTGATTAAAAACTATTCTTATTTGGCCTTTCATGAACAGCATAACAATGCAGTAACCTGGGAAAAATTTAAATACGTTCAACTGATGTGATATGAAGCATTCGATCTTTTACGATATAGTTTGAAAAGGAACTCTTTCCAAATATTTATTTAAAAAAAAATGCAAAGCCCTACCTTTTTTTTTATAAATATAACATGAAATTGGTAAAAAATTTTTGGGAGGAACCGCTTTAGATCTGCTCGAGTTGCTCTAGATCTGTTCTAGATCTACTCAAGATCAAGTTTAAGCTCAAATACATACATATAAAAATGTTCAAATAAACAATTTGCTGTTTGATAAAACGAGCAAAATGGCTGCCACAAGGGTTCACCAAAATACTTTACTGACAAATCAAAATTCACAAAGTTAGAAATAACCCGAAATAACCTGTAAATGAACATCAAACAAAATCATATAGCCGTTAATTGATCGACAAACTTTCAAAAATCTTACGTAGTGGACAAATCATTTAGTATCTAATACCTCCGGCATTTCACGAACAACTGAGTTTGAAGTTATAGAAGTTTCATTTATCTGTTTTGATTGCCCAAATTGTAACCTTCGGTAGTTTTGATAAATTTAGATATTCTTCGAATGCATTAATTAAATATGATAAAACACTAGTTAAAACTCAAATATATAAAAATAATCGTGTCTGCTCATTTCGTAGACAATCACTTCATGGTCATTTCATTTCAAGGTTGATTCATCAACATGGTTATTTTACATAAGATTAATTTACGAACAAATTAATCTCATTCATTTCACGAACAGCTCATTTCATAGCTAGAACTATGGTTCAATTTATGAAATTAAAAAAAAACTTAATATGTGAAAGAGCTATCGGTAAAATGAACTGAATGAAATGAACGCATTGATAGTTTGTAAAATAAACTTGTCGGCAAATTAATAGGCAATGAAATAAGGTGCCTATGAAGTGAAATTCATTGATTTTCTGTAAAATAAACTTGTTCGCGAATTAATAGTCAATGACGTTAGTGAAATAATCCGGATCTAAAAATAATATACTTACAAGAACTCTATGAATAATAATATTATTGTGTAAGAATAAAAGACCATGTACTACTACTTTGGCGATTTGTAATTTGCCGTCCATCGTAGTCTTGTGAATTAGCTTTCAAATATTCTCGCAAATTTCCATATTATAATATCCATTATTGTGTCTATTTATTGTAATTAATACCTGATACAATAGATATGGTTGTAAATTTACATTAAATTTCAAATTTTTGATGTAACTTACAAGCAATTTTTATATGTTTACCTAATCAAAATTTTCTGTAAGTTATTATGTAAGTTATAGTGCAAGGTCATAAAGTTTTTACTATATTAATATTTGACCCATTTCCTGTATTAATTGTATTTTTCCAACAATATCTAAAATGAAATCTATTATCATCTAAATATTATTAAATTCTATCTGGTCACGAAAGGTATATATACGATTAATTTTTTCTAAATATGAAATTTTAATCTATAGTTAGGGTTGTATAAGTATCGATTTAAGACATTTAAGAGTAACCGTTAAATCATTGTCTTTCCATTCGTATTTAAAAAACCTTCTCAAATTCTCCCAATGCAATTTTTTTTCTTTATATTCAAGATAATTAATATGTTCCTCGCAAATAGTTTTCTTAAGTTATTCTCCTGGTGAGTTTACCATGATTTATGTATCCCTAAAAATATGTTAATCGTACGCACAGTACGTACATTTTTCCTTTATACTTACTGACTATGTGACGCAGCAGTTAAAAATTCCTTCGAAATTATCGGAGAAATAATCTAAAGATATATAAATATTACTATAAATGATTTGTAAGACAGTGCAAAGAATATGTACGGGTACTGGGTTATCTAAAATGACAATGCCGAAATCTTAAATGATGAATTACGTTACAGCACTTTCATAATTTGAAGACGCCTAAAGAACTATAAGGTAAATGATGTAGTAATTTTATTAAGAATTGTTTCCGTATGATTTTAATTTAAATTTAATATATATACATACAGCATAATATAAAAAAAATGAATATTTTGCTATATTCATTTATCATAAGATTTAAAGAAAATCTTTAAAAATATATAATCATTAAGATTTAGCCTATAAAATACCATAAAAATGTGATAATAATTAAGACCAGAAAATAATAAGAAACTTATAATAATTTCTTATAAAATTGTAGAATAAAACGCTATAGGTTTGTAATTGTTTTGTTTATTCTAATTGTTCGACGTTTAATAATTTATTATTTTTGGTTTTTGAATATTTATAAAATTTGTTGTTAACATCCTTATCAAAAAGAATGTTAACATTAACCACATAATCTTGAAGAAGAAATTCCAAAGCTTTATGCCGTTGTTCAAGTGCCTTTAATCTATCTTCAACTTTTTCAGGAGGATATTCTAAATGCACACCTTCATCAGCAAATGGAATCTGATCTTTCAGATGATCATAGAGAATGTTTTGAACTCTTTTTCTAATTCCACAGCAGGGAAGTGATTGTACAATTCCCCATGGATTTTTAGTGGTTTCACCTATTTAAAAGTTTATTATTTTTTTTGATATTCGACTCTTTTATATTATAGTACAGTAGAATGATCCAATATCGATATAGTAACTTACCAAATAGAAGTATATTAATTGAAGTGGCTAATGTAAATAAACCGCCAACAAAACCGAAAACATCCAAAAAAGTTAAAATCCTGAATGATTGCATTTGAATATAAAAAAAAATTGTTAGTAAATTTTAATATTAATCATAAATTATTTTAAGTTTATTAGTAATTTAATTTTATAATATGACATTACAATTTTTCCTCTTCGGTTATGATCGTAGTTGACGTGCAACCTATCGAAAAAAAGGATTGATTTCCTAAATATGGCATAGAGACAGTTGCTAAATAAAATAAAACAAAACATGCAGTCAGATTTAAGCATATAAATAAGTTAAATTTTATCATATTTAATGCTCACCAAGATTTGAAGAAACATATGGTATTCGTTCATGTTGAGGACTCGAAAATGGGCTCTTCTGTATACCAACAAGTAATTGACGGATTCGTTTAGTGTATCGTAAATAATGTATCTGTACAATATAAAAATATTTTATAAATTAAATTATAAAATTATAATATGCATAAAGGTATAAACAAAATTAATCCTGTCATGAACTAAATTTTACACACATTCCCCAACCCAATTAAATATGTATTCGCATATTCAGTGTCACCTAATAAGGCTAAAGATTTTTTAGATAATGAGTTTAATAAATTCCCGTTATTTCTAATTGCATCCGTTTCTACAGGCAAAGTCAAAAGTAAATATCATTTTAAAAATAGAACATTTGACGCATTAGTTATGAACAGTTATTAAAAATTTTGATAACTTGCCTGGGTCAAATACTTGAACTAAAGTAGTGTCTATTTGATTTATTTGGTTTGTTTGATTTACTTTGTTTAGGTTAAAAGAAATATAGGTCATATTCAATGATCCTATTTCGTTTATGTGAAGATAAGCACTTGGTACATGTTTGTTTATGTGACTTGTTAATGTTAAATCTGATTTGAAAATTGCAACAAAAGGAAATGATAAATTTGAATTATATATTTTTGTTATTTTTTGAGTGCAATCCAAACTACTTTCACTATACAGATATCCTTAAAGAAGATTGAATTTTAAAAATTAATAAATCATCGAAGGCTTGAAAATCTTTAAAATTACTTCATAAATATTACCTCCATAAGCATATTCACAGCTTATAGTAAAATTGTCATAAGAAGTAATATACACATCTATTAATATAAAATTGTTTAGAATATTCTGATTATTTTTTGAGTTAAAAACAACTAATGAAAAGGCTGAAAAATCTTTTTTTACATGGTGCTGGAATACTCGGAAATTTTTCATGTTTATATATATACATTTTATTCAATTTACTTAGCTCGTATAATTTCCAAAACATGTAAGATAATACCAAGGCACAAGAAAAACATAGAAAACATATTCTAATTATTTTGATGGTCTTTATTTCAGACCGATGAAAAAACCCTCTGAATGCAAGCATATTTCGAAAGGAAAAAAAAATTAATGGTCGATGTCAGACTATTCAGTCATAAGTACGTAAATAATTTAAAAAATATCCAAAATATTACCCTATGCAGTGCATGCAGGTGCTTTCTTATTTATCAGTATGCTTTGGACGATATTACCTTCTTTAATGATTTGTTTATTGAATGACTGAAAGGTTCCGGGATGTACGTACATAAGTACTGTAAAACTTGAGTTACGATGGCATTGCAGCATTGTAAAAAGGGTAGTTTCGAGCCCAATGATTATTATAAATCACAAGACAAGTATTTTAATTTAGGTCAATCTATTTAATTCTAGTATACAGATGATGTCATTATATGCGTGCGTATGCAAATGATGTAATTATATTCACGTGTCCCATAGAAAGTTATTTTAATTTTGTGATACGTACCAAAATCAGAAACACACAAAATTTATATCTTTATAAATTACGACAGAACAATGTATAAGTTTTTCACTTAAAATTCTATCCGTTTTTTAGCTATCATAAAGAGTTGGCATATATATACATAGTAACAAAACTGGTTTTTGCACTTTGTAAATTCCATTATATAATTGAGAGTACTAATTCAACTGTTCTTGAATTTCTGTGTCCACTCTAAGGAATTATGTCCTTATTCAGTACAGTATTGTTAATTAAATGAGTAAAATTTTATATAAAAATTTCTAGAATTTTTTCTGTAACGTTCGTCGAATAAACTAAGTTAATGTTGTTCGTACGTACGTACGTACTCAGCATGTTTCGATAATTAAATAAGTAATACTGAGAAATACTTGTTTGTTCAGGTTTTTCTAAACAGAAATTATGATACGTGATACCTAAATACTTTATTAGATGAGTATTATCGTTATATTATCGTTATTAGTTAAAATGCATGTTAGTCAATGTATAAGTAGTGTAACTGTTTAAAAAAAGGATTGGCGAATATACTGTAACATGAGGACCACGGGATTTAAAGGGATACAACTGATATTATTACAGTATGGCACGAGAACTTCAAGTTTACTAGTTCACATTACTGGGTCACAGAATAGATTATCTACCTGAGCTTCTAAGTTATAATGAGGTTCTTTGGCTGTGAAAATTTCTTCACTATATCGAGAGATTCACTATATTGAAAGTCTTTCGATATAGTTAAGTCGGTAATAAAAATTGTATAAATCTTCACTATATCGAGAGAACTAATAAATTTATGCTTCCAAAAATTTAATTAACAAGTGTTGCACAAAGTAATAAGTTGCATATTGACAAATATTCCATTAATGTTATTGGTCTACACATATCACACGATCAAATCTTTACTATAACGCGAGACATTTGTTATATCCGTTTTAAAAAAATCTTCATATATTTATATCGAGAGTTTACTAATTAACTTCATTATATTTAACGAAAGTTTATTAATAATGATTTTTCTAAACAAATTCTTCACTATAAACCAATTTTCACTATTACGAGAGTTCTTATAGCGAGAGTGACTTGAATACAAATATGGGTCTTTGCCCTTACGGTACATGATACCGTAAGGTCATTTTCAAGGCAAAGACCCGACAGAGTCGATTTTTCAAAACTTCATAAACATGATAGAACATTCTAACTGCGAGAAATTTTTTATAGTACTGTATATATCGCTAATAACAAATATGGAAAGCGGACAAAACATTAAAAAATGAAATAGCAGTTATAATATTATCGTGCACTACATTCCCAACGATGAAGCACAAGCAGTTTCTACTAAATGTTTATTTGGCTATAAGATCGCTGTATATTACAGCTGTTTTCAAAAGATGCAGGAAGGAACTTTTTAAGATGTATATATTAATCTGATAGCGACGTAGAGATAATAGAAAATAAACTTCTGCTTACTGTGTTATAACAAAATTTATAACAATGTTAGTTTTTATTTTTTATTATTACATTCAATGACTGATGCGCTAAATACGTACAAAACTACAAATGAGGAGCTTGCTTTGGATGTGGAGCTGATCTACAAAAATGTCAACTTAGGTGTTCAATCAATTAATTAAATAATGAACATGGTGACGCTAAAGCATCACGATAAATGGCGATATTTATAGAATTAAATGCTTGAGCATCCTCTTTTTCTATTTTTCGTGATCTGCGTTATGCCACCTAAAACAACTTAAAAAAATTTCTACTCAACTGGTTGCCGAAACTTTAACTTCGACTGCGTCGGCTTTCCTTTTAATGAATTTACCAATTCAAAACTTTTATTGCAACAGCAACAGATCAATCATTAGCGAAAGATGCTTTGCAGCAACAAATAAAAAAGTTTTTTTTTCTTGCGAATCTTAATATTGAAATTTTATTGAACGAAAAATGGAATAGCAGAATTCATTATAGTTTATTAAATGTTTATTTATTTTAAAAGATTTGAGAATTAAAAATAAAGTGGCCATTATTTTCATATCGGTTAGAAATTTGTTGAAAATTTATTGTTTATTATGCTTGATATGTAAAGAATTAAAAGTAATGCTTAAGTGACCTTCATAGATAGTAAATTTTTGAAGAAAAAGATGGTTTGTAGCTCGCTGATCTGTTTATCGCAGGCAGCTTATTTGGTTAATTTATTCAATTTCCGACTATTAAAAATTTGCCTCCGATACATTGAGTGAGGTGCTTGAGAACACCCTTAGTCTACCTCTCAATGACTAATACTAAGGGACAACTAATACTGTGGGTCATTTATGCAATAATATGTTTACAATTATAGTGTAAATGTGTATTTTTATTGATTTCTAATAAAAACAAGAAGGAAAGATGCTTACAAAGCAGAACGAATGATGTCTATTATA